TTGTGGGTAGGGGGCTCATAGAGATCTGAAAGGCTGAAGTAAACCTTTTGCAGGTACAGGAATCCACATGCTGGGAACACAGGTTTTCGGGGGCCTGGAGGTTGAATGAGGGAAGCTGAGAGATAGAAAGTGTCCATGGGGCATGTGACATTCCCAAGATCTTCAAATCCTCAGTAAACTTGCTAAATCCATGAAATGCTTGGCTTGGTTGAACTTTTTATTTAGTGGAAATGCCAGGAGGCAGATGGCAAAGTGGGAAAGGAAGGTGGAAATTCGTGGGGCATGCTGGGAAGGAGGGAGGGCTTTCCTAAGCCATGGAACTTGGGATCTTCATACGCCAGTGGGTCCTCTCGCATCTAGGATCCTAAAAGCTGTTTTAGTTTCACTTCTGTCGATATGATAAAACACCTGGACCAAAATAAACTTAAAGGAAAAAAAAGGGTTTTGTTTGTTTGTGGTCTACCCTCCCCAACAACTCCAGGTCACACTCTGTCGATGTGGGAAATCAAGGAAGAAATTCAAGGCAGGTTTGCTTGTTATTTCACACAGCATTACAGTCCAACCAAGGAACTCACTTCACAGCCAAGAAGTACAGCAAGAGCCATGGAGGTGCCACTTGCCAGCCAGCTTATGCTTAGCCTGCTTCCTTATAGGGTTCAACACCACTGCCTAGGATCGGTGCCGCCAACAGTGGACTTGTTTCTCCAATTAACAACCAAGACTAGTCTCCCACAGACATACCTCCCAGGGCAATCTGTCCTAGGCAATTCTCAGGTGAGACTTTCCTCTCAGGTGACTTTAGGCTATGTCGGTTGACAGTTAAAGCTAACAAGATCAGAGTTGACAGCTAAGGCCCAAAAAACTGGGATGTTACCAGGAGCAGACAGATCATTTCTCCTTCAGTGAAAACATGAAGCTATGCTCATGTAGAACACCCTCCTGAGCCTCAAAGAAACACTCTCACCCCGGATGCTCAAGCTGTATGATTCCAGCCACATGTAGCTCCCAGAACACTGTGAACTCTTGCCTCTGGGCCTTTGCACATACTGCTTCCTTACTGAGAACACCTTTCCCCCAGCACCTGCTAAACATCCTTTAAAGTTCAGCTCAGACATCACTTTCTCCAGAGGCCTGTGCTGAGCTCCCAGCCTGGGACAGCATTGTTGGAAGAAAATACTTTATTAATATTCTTTTCTTTTTCTCTTTCCCTCATCCACATCCCCAGCCTAGCCTAGCTTTGGAACTCTCTAAGCAACTGAGGATGGCTCTGAACTCTCAATCTTCTTGGCTCCGAATTTCAAGTGCCAGGATTATGGGTGTGTATATTATCTGGCCCAGCTATATTTTTTCTTTCTCTTCAAAATCTTATCTTTTTCTGAAGCTAGATTGCCTACTTTTAACTATGTGGTTTTTGGTATGTTAGTTTGTACCTCAGTTTCCTGTTCTGTAAAATGGTATAGCATCACCTCCTATCCCTCAGTATTTTGTGAGAATTAAATGTGTTAATATGTTTGCAAGAATAAGAAAACCACCCAGTTCATTACTCATGTGTTCAGTAGGAGTTTATATTACAGGACTGAATTCATAACTCATATTCAGTGATTAATAATCCACACTGTTCTTGCTGAGGACCCGACTTTGCAATCTAGCACTCACTTTGGGGCAGGCTCACAACCACCTCTAACTCCAGCTCCAGGGGCTCTGACGCCCTCTTCTGGCCTCAGAGTATACTGGCACTCATGTGCACATGCCAACCCTAACACATACACAATTTTAAAAAAAGAAGCTTTTAAGAAACAAAATGAAAACAATGTTTTATATTACTATGTGTGTATCATTTATAAGCATATACACATACATATATTGGAAACATACTTGGGAAGTGTGTTTTACACCCAGGAGTTCTTGATCTTGTGTGTTTGGAGATCAGGTCTTGAAGCAAAGATCAAGATTGATGTCTTCATCCTCAGAGCCTAGTCCTACCAGCTGAAAAGATTCATATTGGCAAATGCGAAACAGACAGAACCCAAGGCTGATTCTGGCAGGGATTTGTCCTCTTATGGAATTTTTTTATTTTAATTTTCACTTCTGTAATAAGGCCAGGTTTTAATTAGACAAAGGCAAAGAGACACCTTACAATTCCAGGCTGGATTTAGGGTGAGGGGCGCCCTCTTGTGGCCTAATAGTGTATTTCTCTTTCTGTGCACTACCTCCGTTTCTGCTCTTCAGGACAGACTCAGCTGATGTGAAGGTCTCACCAGACCTCGAAAAGCTGTTTTTCCACCTTCAGACCCAAACACTGTCTCTGACAACTCAGGCCACTCAGTTCTCTTTACTGTGTCAATGTTTACCCAAGTCCTTGGCTTCTTCCATCTCTGGTCTCTTCTTCATGAAAAATCAGGCAGCGAGCAAGGAAGCTTCTAGGGTTTTAGGATTTAAAATTCCAGCCTCAGTACTTACTGTGTATATGATTTTGAGCAGGCTAATTTATATCTCTAAGCTGCCACCTCTTTTATAAAATGGGGTAACAGTACCAACCTCATCGAGCTTCTGGGACAATTGGACAAGGTGTTCTAATGTAACCTGTTAATACCAGCACACTACATATGCTAAATAAATCACATGATATATTAAGAAATAGGTCAGAAACTGGGTGGTGGTGGTGCACTCAGGAGGCAGAGGCAGTTGGATCTCTGAGTTTGAGACTAGCCTTGTCTACAGAGTGAGTTCCAGGACAGCCAAGGCTACACAGAGAAACCCTATCTCAAAAAACAAAACAAAACAAAACAAAAAAAACAAAACAAAACAAAAGTCAGAATAGAATTTCTAGCTAAGGAATTTGAAGTGAGTTACTAAACCTAAGATGTAGAATTCCCTCTAAATGCAACACTAGCTGGCGTAATGACCCCTTTCCCAATGCTAGCTACTGTCAGATTTGCTCAAGTTTCATAGCTCTCAATAGAAATAACAGCCAGTAGCCATTCAACTTTGTGAGCACCAGGAGGGAGACAAGCTCTTCACGTATTTTGCACATTTTTTCCCCAACAACACTCAAAGGAAGATTTTGTTATTATTACTCCCATTCTCCAGACGAGGAGACTAAAGCCTTAGCAGTTTAGGGAAATGTCTTAGTTTGGGATTTCCATTTCTATGAAGAGACACCATGACCAAGGCAACTCTTATAAAGGACAGCATTTAACTAGGGCTGGCTTACAGGTTCAGAGGTTCAGTCCATTATCGTTATGGCGGGATGCATGGCAGTGTCCAGGCGGGCATGGTGCTGGAGGAGCTGAGAGTTCTACACCTTGTTCAAATGGCAAACAGAAGACTGTCTTTCAGGCAGCTAGGACGAGTGTCCCAAAGCCCACCCCCACAGTGACACACTTCCTCCAACAAGGCTATACCTACTTCAACAGGGCCATACTTCCTAATAGTCCCACTCCCTGGGCCAAACATTTTCAAACCACCACAGGGAGATAGCGCAGTTGATAAGGTGCTTGCCACATGATCAGTAAGGGTCTCAGCTCAGGCCCTCGGCATCTGTGTAAAAGCTGGGAGTGTCAGTGCCATAGGTAACACATGTACTGGCGAGTGGGATGGGAAGGCAGAGACAGGCAGATTCCCAGGGCTTGTGAGTTAGCTAACTTAGCTGGATCTTTCAGTTCAGTGAGGGACCCTCGCTCTAATGAACAGGGTGGAGACTGCTCCATAAAGGGCATTCATATTGACCTCCACAAGCATGTGCACGTACACACACGTGCATCTATCCACGCAACCATATGCGTACAAAAGAGGCTTCTGCACTTTGCTGGAGGTTTTGCAGCTTGGGAATGTCAAGGCATGCACCTCACATTAAAAGGTAAGTGGCTTGCCAGGCGGTGGTGGCACATGCCTTTAATCCCAGCACTTGGGAGGCAGAGGCAGGCGGATTTCTGAGTTCGAGAGTTCGAGGCTAGCCTGGTCTACAGAGTGAGTTCCAGGACAGCCAGGGCTACACAGAGAAACCCTGTCTCGAAAAAAACAAAAACAAACAAACAAACAAACAAACAAAAAGTAAGTGGTTTGACTCCATGCTTTACCTAAATATTATCTTTAATCTATAAAGTACTCTGAGATGTAGGCTTTGTTCTGTCACTTAAAATTTAGAGCTGAAAAAAAATTAAAGACCATCGTGATGAAGATTTTTTTGTTGTCGTTGTTCAAGGACGTATCAGAGTTTGGATCTATGGCTGACTACAAAACTCACACTCCCAGCTTCCTATTAGACTGCTCACACCTCAAGAGTATTTACAGTGGCTATCTTAGGGTTACTATTGCTGTGACAAAATGCAGTGAACAAAACAGCTTGGGGAAGAAAAGGTTTATTTGGCTCACACTTCCACATTGTAGTCCACCACTGAAGGAAGTCAGGACAGCAACTCAAACAAAGCAGGAACCTGGAGGCAGGAGCTGATGCAGGGGTCATGGAGGGACACTGTTTACTGGCTTGCTCAGCCTGCTTTCTTATAGAACTCAGGACCACCGGCCCAGGTGTGGCCCCACCCACAATTGCCTAACCAATTCCCCTATCAATCACTCTTCCAAACCACTCAACTAAGTTGTGAATTGGAAATTGTAGTTACAACTGACAAACTCTCTCCTGCCCAACAGATAGCCACTGTAGTTACCCTCTTTCCTTTTTTATTACTTATATCCTTTTTTTTATTTTTCCTTACTCTCTCCAGCTCAACCTAGGGCTCCAGGCTCCTTCAGTAGACCCCACCCCATTTTCTAATCTAGACTCCACCTACTAGGAGGTACCGTCACCGCAAAACCAATGGAAAGAGTCAGAATAGTACCGAGCTACACCCCCAGGCGTTGATCCTGCAAGATTATTTGTTCCGGTACCAGAGCTCCTGAGACGATGAGACGCTCATTGGCTGACGTCATCTGAGAGGCGGCCGATAGGGGAGTTGCCCACCGGTTCTCGCGCGATGCCTTTTGGGAGTTGTGGTCTCAGAGACGGAGTTCCCGGGCCGCCGGCGCCAGGACTCTGCGTCCCAGCATCCCCTGCAGGAGTCCGGGAGCACTTCCGTCCTGTTGTGAAGTGGGTGTCTCTGTGGGTGAGTCTGGGTGGCGGATGGGGTGCAGCTGAGTCTCAGGCGTTGGGCTGGAGGCTTTGGAGGTGGTGGTACCCGGGGGGGAGGGGAGCTGGGAAGGTGAGGGGGAAAGCATCGTGGCGCGCGCGCGCGCGCGCGTGTGTGTGTGTGTGTGTGTGTGTGTGTGTGTGTCGGGGCGGGGGTGGGGGCGATCAGACTATGCAGCGTCTGGAGATGGGCAGGGTCACCGAGGGGTCGGGATGAAGAGTGAGTTGGAGAGGCGGGCAGTGAGGCGGGTATTACAGAGATCTGTGGGTGAGGTGGTAGGGATGCGTTTTGGCTATGTGGGGAAGTCACCTTAGAGTCTAGAAAAGCACAGTCAAGGGGAGAGAGGATTCAAGAGCCAGGCAAAGAAGTGAAGAGGCCCTGAGCTGGAAGTCTGACCTTAAAATAGTGCTTCATTCTCCACACCCGAGTTCATATCATCAGTGCCGGGACTAGCTATTGTGTTCAATCCCAAACCTGTACTTCTTTCCTCATAACTGATGGAAATGAAAGGCATCTTTATCTACTGACCCACCTACCCTCTACTGACCCACCTACCCTCTACTGACCCGCCCACTCTCTGCTGACCCGCCCACCGACCTACTTGTTTTACCAGCTGATTCCGCCTGCACCCGCATTCTTCCCCACTCACGCTGGTTTGCCTTACACTGTTCCTAGCTTGCCGTTTCTTTAGTTATCTCTTAAAATTACTTCTGTCTTCCGAGAGCCTCTGCACAAGTGTCTACATTTTCATTTCTCCAGCTCGGACAAACATTGCAGCCAGTGTGATCTGTTGAAACCCTCAACTCTTGATTGTACTTTCTGTTCATTCTCCAGCTTGGAATCCATCCCGGGCATGCAGCACGTGTTGAATGAAATCTGATCTCATAGATTCTTTACAATTCCCTTTGCAGCCCACGTTTCCCATACTGCACACTCTGAGGCTGCCAAAGTGTTCCCCATTCTCTGGGCGGGCCATTTTGGTTCTCCAGTATTACATAGCCCGTCTCTCTGCTGTACCCATCCCCTCTTCTCTCTGCAGAGAACCACCCAAGAACCAATTCAACAGTTCCCTTAAGCCAGTTGTCACCTCCAACTTCCCAGCTCCCAAATCATACTATATTTACAACATTGGATTAATATAATTATCTGTGACTTTTTTTTTTTTTTTTTTGTCTTTTCCACTTGTTAGCTTCCTCAGGACAGGGAGTGTCTGGATCATCTCCACTTTCCTTTGTCCAGCCCAGGACAGTAAACACCTAATGTTGAACAAGCAAATGAGTAAATGTTTGGCGAATGTGGACTAAAGACTCTCAGGGTGAGTGTTGTTAGACCTTGTTTGAAGATGGCTACGGACTTCCAGGGGTATGAGCTTCAGTCTTCTTCTGACATTCATGTCTGCTGGGAGCTGAGGCTGTTGGGGGCTTAAGGACAGTGTTGGCCAACACATAGGGATGTATACAGTGGTTTCCTTTTCCCGAGGCCTTGCCATTGCTAATTGATCACAATGTCTATTCATAGGGAACTTATTTCTCAGCAGGCTACTCTAGGTGGTTACCCCCACGATGGAGGATGGTCTGCTAAGTGAGTCCTGTCTTCCGTTGCTAGTTCGAGTCCTTAGATGGGGGTCTCACTCCTTACAGCCATAGATTGTACAGTTAGCCTAGTAGGACTGACAACCTTTGGGAGCTCCCAGTTCCTTACTGTTTCGAGGTCCCTAACCAATCCAGTCCTTTCTCTGGACCCCAGGAGCATCTTCTCTCCCCTCTTGTTGTTACAGGAGTGGGTAGAGGGTGGAACTTAGCTTCACATTTACATCCGGCGCCCCAGTTGTCAAGGCCCCGCTCAGCTTCCTCATGGTTAAGTGGAACCAACTAAATTTTTTAAAAAAATTGAATGTGAGAATTTCATACAATGAATTCTGGTGGCCCTGATTTTGATTTGGGGACTCTGCACTCCTTCTAAGTCTTTCAGGGTACTGGAAGAGAAACCTTTGTGATTTATTTATCCCAGACTTCTGGAAAGACACCTTGCTTCAGTTCAGTGTCAAGAAAGGCTCACAAAATTAAAAGCAGGTGGGGAGTAGCGGAGACATAGGGAGTAGCACCACATGCAGAGACGTAGTGGGAGCCCACGTGGGTTGAAGTCTGCCATCATGCCTTATTTAATCCTCATGTGTCTGAAGCAATTCTGGCTGTTGTCAGCATCTGAACTCTAGAGGTCTAGTTTCTCTTGGAAAAGATGGAAGAACTGGGGACATCCTGGGCCCCGTCCCCTCAGGGCTTCATGGTGGGTCACAATCCCTGCCCACTTCAGTGTTCATGGTTTCCCTTTCAGGTTCGTTTCAGGCTTGCTGACTGCTTATTCTGCTCTTGTTTCACAAGTTAGCCTGGGGTAAGAGCTGGGTAGGACAGGAGGCTGTCTGATCTTCACGGCGTGGCACTCAGCTAAGAGGCAGACGTGGCTGTAGAGTCTCACTCTTCCCTGGATGTCCTTGTCTGTTTCCCATAGCATTACTCTAGCAGTCAGGAGGATGTGATGGGATTACAGAAAATGGTGGGAGACTGACCTGGGCCTCGTCCTACCTCAGACACTTGGTGGGTCTCTCTCTTTGAGAAGTTCTGTTTCTCTCTATACATCATAGCTTAGGAGTCCTTTGGAAAGGACTCAGTGAGCACTCTGTCTTTGCATAAGCTCACTAACACAGCCAGGTTTTCTAGTGTGACCATGAGACAGAAGAATTGACTTCTGTCTGATGATGTGGTGGGAAAGATAGCCTGTTTCTGTTCATTGACAAGAAAGGCTCATGGAGTAGCGGAGACATGGGGACCAGCACCACACGCTCACCATGGAACAGTTATGGGTGGAATCAACTCCGAGACTTAGAGAGTGTGCTTTCTCTCTCTCTCTGGTCTTCCTGGGTCATGGGTGTTCCAGGTCATAGACTTTCATCTTAGCACTAAGGACCCTCCACTTCCTTGTCTGGAAGATTCTGTGCAAATACAGATGGAGAATGCTTAGCACTGTACTTAGTGTCAATAAAAGGCACCTCTTGGAGGCCTGGATCTATCTCTGGTGGCCTCAAGGCTGGAGAATGCCCTTGCCCAGCTCCTGGATGACTGTGTTGACCTCCCTTCCCCTGCAGTAGTCTGTAGTCCATATGGGAAGACAGATATATGATTCTGAAAGGGGTTTCTACTATCTGTTTGAAATGAACATTTGGGGGTTTTTAGGATCTCTCCCCCCAAAGATGTCCTCGGCTCTGGCTTGGTGACCAGTGGCTGCTCATTGTCTGATGGGTGTCCCCTTATGCAGGAGCGTAGGAACCTTTGCTTGCCAACTTACTGTCTGTTCCTAAACTGTAACTTTGTGAAGGCTGAAGGGACTCTCTGTCCCAGCTATTGCTGGATCTGGAGCTCCCTGTACAATGCAGGGCACATGATGGGTGCTCCGTGAATGCCTGACAGGTTAGTCCTTGGGTATGACAGTGACAGATTATGTGTTTGGATTAGTGTGTCGGGAAAATGTGTTTTTTTTTTTCTTAAAGTTATGAAATGTTAATTCTTATGTAAATCACGGACATTCTAGACTTTTGATATAATAGATTCATATATTTAATACAAGGCAACAAAATACTTTAATGGTCCTGCTGTTTATCGTATTGAGGGTAGGTATACTGGCCTGTTGTAGTGGCATTGTCCACTGTAGGGATAGGTGACTGCAAAGCATGAGTGAGCATTTATCTCAGAGCCATGTATCAGCTGCTTTGGGGGGGGAGCAGGGATGGTGGTGGGGCGTGACAGAGCACACCAAGGAACTCTTCCTGGAGGAAGTGACATGTGGCTTAGTGGCAGGGGGATGAGCCAGAAGTAGCCCAGTGGCCATGTGTTCTCTAAGCATCTTCCTAAGTACAATGGAAATCTTTTTGGCTAGTCTCTATTTTTTTGTCACCCTTGCTTTGTCTCCACACATCCCAGTTAGATGGCCCAGGACACCAGATGCCACCATCCGTCGCCTCTGGTTCTGCTGTGCCATCCCTACTTAGATGGAGTCAGTGCTTCTCTAGGCAAGACAAGGTATCTAGAGGATAGTCAAGTGAAAATGTTGGAGCCGTGAAGTATGCAGACAGCTTTGGCTGGAGTTTTAGAAATTTCAATTTAGAGATGGTGAATAACATCAGGTATGTGGGATGACTGGAGAGCGGGGGTGATTTTGCCAGATGACCGTTCATAAACGAGGACCAAGGTTCGAGTCTCGGGAGGCAGGTCTCAAGGAAGAGGTGACCCTCTTGGAGTCCAGCTTTGGGGAAGGTTAGCTTTGGCACGTGGTGTAGCAGAGAGGACAGCCACACTAGAGTCAAAGACCAGAGGTTCAAGGTTCTTTGATTAAACATTTAGGTGTGTCCCAAGAGATATAACATGGTGCTGTCTTCTTGTAAAGTGAGCTGGGTGCTGGCTTTAGTGCTTGATCATGGTCTCACTTCCTGCCCTTTGCAAAGCATTGTCTCTGAGACTTCCTGTGCCTTCACAGGTCATGGAAGGTCCTCTCCCTCACCGTGTCCTTTGTCTTTCTGCCTTCACAGTCTTGGGGAGCAGTCCCTCCCCAGGAGTCCGTTGAAGGACACATTGCTAATGCAGGAAGCCACCACCGGATGAGGACAGCCCTGCTGAAGTGAAGCATCCAGGCCAGATGATGGCTGTGGCCTCGCCTCCACCAGAGCCAGAAGACCTCTTGATTGTGAAGCTGGAGGAGGACTCGTGGGGATCAGACTCCAGACCCGAGGAGGAGAGCCATGGCCCTGTCCCTGGCCCTGAAGTTTCCCGACGGTGTTTCCGTCAGTTTCAGTACCGGGATGCGGCTGGACCCCACGAGGCCTTCAGCCAGCTCTGGGCCCTCTGCTGCCGTTGGCTGAGACCTGAGCTTCGCCTCAAAGAGCAGATCCTGGAACTGTTGGTGCTGGAGCAGTTCCTGTCCATCTTACCCAGGGAGGTGCAGACCTGGGTGCAGGCACGACACCCTGAGAGCGGAGAGGAGGCGGTGGCCCTGGTGGAGGATTGGCACCGAGAAGCTTGGGCTGCTGGACAGCAGGTGAGGCTAATAGTCTGATCTCTAAGAAGCTGGTTAGGTAAGGGATTGAATTAATAATTGCCCCTAAATTGCAATAATAGTGATCATTGAGCAACTACCGTTTACTGAGCCCTGCTGTGTAGCAGGTAGTATTCCAACTGCTTGATTTGTATTAACTCATTTAATTCTGCCACAGATTAATGAGGTGGGTCGGTACTGTTAGCCTAATTTTCCTAGTGAGGAAATGGAGGCAGAGAAAAGACAGATAATTTGTTCAAAATCACCAGCTACTGGATTGTAGAGGCAAGATTTGTACTTGAAAAAGCCTGACTAAAAGGTGTGTGCCTAACCACCATTGAAGCTGCCTCCCAGTACCATTCAGTGTGCATAATCTGTATAATGCTGGATGTCCAACACAGTCATCACACGCCCCTGGATCGCTTTGGATGCTTATTGCAGCCCATAGGCAGAAATAGCTTTACTGTTTCCATTTTGTAGATTAAGGTTCTAAGAATCAGATGGTTCATGGAGGACACTGGGAGAGGGAACCAGAGCCTAACCCCCCTGATCTTTGGGTTTCAAGGCCATGCATGCCCTTTCTGCTAAGGAACTGATGCCTCATCTTCAAACGTGCAGTTTAAAATGCTTCTGAGGGTGAGGCTCGGTTGAGCATTCTCTGACATCCTGTGAGCGAGTGCCCACTGTGCTTCAGGCCCTCTTCTGAGTCTTTTATATGCGTATGTCACCCAGTCAGCCACTGGGTGCTGTTTTTCAAATGATCTAACAGCAAGGTGAGTAGCTTGTCCAAATTTGAGAGTGGTAGAGCCAAAAAGGGGCAGTGTGGATTTCACATCCTCAGTCTCAGTGATTGACAAGCAACTCTGAGAGTCTATGATATATGTCATTTTCCTGTGGCACACAATTTGGATCCTACTTGCAGCTGCCTTGAAGGGTCAGCCCCTGTAGCTGACTTTCACCTCAAACCCTTGCCGCTCTCCACTTGTTACAGTCAGGAATCCCCATGGCCTCATACTTGACCACATCTGGTTGTGGGGATTCTGTGTTTGAGAATACATATGCTGTAAATGACAAGGTTCTCCGTCCGTTTAAACTGTAAAGCTCTGTCCAGATGAGAGAGGGAGTTGCCAAGGTCGGTGGCTCTGCCCCCAGGCTCCTTTACAGACTGGCAGAAAGCTGCCATTTCACATCTGAGAACAGAGGTTGAGCTTATGCCTCTTAGTATACCCCCACCCCTCTTTACATCTTTCAAGAAGCCTGAAGTGTCAGAGAAGAAACAGTGGAAGACTTGAGACTCTGGAGCTGGAGGACGAAGAACGTGAGACCCTGAATGAGGATTGACAAGGTGTTTTCAATACTCCATCTGGGAAGCCAGACTAGGCTACTTTTTCACAAGGGCCACCCCTGTGAGGTGGCCAAAGGTTGAACCCTCCTAATATAGAAGAGATAAAGCACTGGCATTTCTGTAACTTCCACTGACTGGTTAGAGTGGTTGTACACAGTGTGCTCCAGGGATCCTCCTGCATTCTCCTCTCTTGGGCTGGGATGACAGGTGCACACTAGTTTTTACCTGGGTGCTGGGAATCAGAACTTAGTTCCTTATCCTGCTGTGGCAAGCACTTTACTGACTGAGCCTTCTTCCTACTGCCCAATTGACAGTTTCTTAATGATTATGAACATCTATTCATATGCTTTTTTGGCATCTGTAAATCTTTGGTGAGGAGTCTGGGCTATTGTGGTTCTTTTGCCTTTCTCTATAAACTTAGAATCGATGTTAAACAAAGATCCAACAAAAATTCTCAATAAAATACTTAATAGCCAACTTCAAGAACAGGTCAAAACAGTCAAGCCAGCTTCGTCCCAGAGATACAGGGATGGTTCAACAGTAACTAAATGTAGACTTCCACATAAATTGATTTAAGTGCAGAAACCACATCTCATATGCAGAAGAGGCCTTTGACAAACTCCAGCATCCCTTTGTAATAAGAGTTCTAGAGAATGGGCGAATACAGGGGACATAAAATGTCATAATAATGGGTATGATACCAGCCCACAGCCAACATCAAACTAAATGGAATATTTCTGCTGAAATCAGGAATAAGATTAGACAAGAGTATCCCCTCTCTCTTCTCCTGTTCAAGATAGTGGTTGTATTCTTAGCTAGAGCAATAAGACAGGAGAGAGATCAAAGAAGCAAATAGGAAAGGAAAATGTCGAAATATCCAATTCATAGCTGGTAAACACGTTTTAAAAATTATTAGGATACAAAATTAACACGCAAAAATCAGCTTCCTGTATGCAAACAGCAAACACTAGAGAGAAATCAGGGGATCATTATTTACAATTTCCCCCCTTCCCACCCCCCCAAAAAAAAAAGCCCCTTGGAATAAATCTAACCAAGAAACTGAAAGACGTGTACAATGAAAACTTTAAGACACTGAAGAAATGAAGGAAGATACCAGAAAATGGAAAGACATTCCACGCTTATGGATTGGTAGGGTTAATATTGTGAAAATGGTCATTGTACTGAAAACAGTCTACAGATTCAATCCAGACTCCATCAGAAGCCCAACACAGTTCTTCATAGAAATTGAAAAAAATCTTTATATAGAGACACAAAAGACTCAGGATAGCTAAAACCATCATGAATTAAAAAAAAAAAAACTGTAGACATCAGCATCTCTGATTTCAAGTCATACTTTGAGATAATGCTAGTAAAGCCAGCATGGGTCTGGCACCCAAGCAAACATGTTTGATAAATGGGGTAGAAGTGAGGACCTGGATAAAAAGCCCACACTTTTACAGCCACCTGATTTTGATAGAGAAGCAAAAAATACACAGTGGGGAAAAGACAGCTATCTCAGTCACTGTTCTGTTGCTATGAAAAGATACCATGGCCAAGGCAACTTGTAAAAGGAAGCTACAATTTCAGAGGGCTAGTCTATGACCATGATGGGGGCAAGCAAGGTGGTGTGTGGGCATCGTGCTGGAGCATCAGCTAAGAGCTTACATCCTGATCAGCAAGATAGAGGCAGAGAGAATAAAACTGGCTTGCTCAGAGAGGTCAACCCACCTAGGAATGGCACTGCCCAGAATGGGCTAGACCCTTCCACATCCATTAGCATAGGGAAAATGCCCTCCCCCAGTTGAAACTCCCTCAGATAGCTCTGGGATGTGTCAAGTCGACAGGTGAATATGACCAGGGGAGGGGGGAATCTTGTGGGGAAGGGTAGAATACAGGTGTCATGAAAAGGGAAAGAGAATAATGGGGGAAAAGGGTTAAAGGGATGAGGGAGGGCAAGGTGGAGCAGGTAGTGTCGGGAGGGATAATAACAAGACCTTTGCAGATGCTATATGGAAAAATGACACACACACACACACACGCACGCACACACACACATACACACACACACATACACACACACCACACACACACACACACACACACACCACACACACACACACACACACACGCACACACACACACACACACAGACACAGAGGAATGGAGTTACCCTACAAAAGAAACAATGCTTTTCCCAGGTACCAGGCTGTTAAATAAAAAGCCTAGTTCCAGATAGGGTTAACTCTTTTCAAGTTGTTGGTCAGTGGGATCCCAAAGGCCACTCCACAAACATTACAGGCTATAGCCCTTGCCCCTGGTTGCCCTCCAGGACTTAATGGTAAGACCCTGTTGCTGAAGACACTGCATACTTGAATTGTAGCACAAAGAGAAATCAAGCTGGTACCACCCTGGAAGTTTCATCCCCACTGGCTAGCTTTCCTGGTGGCAGAAGGGTTTTTGCCAGACGAGTGGCCTGGCAAAATCTCCCCGCTGGTGCGATGTTGGTGGCAATGTTATGGGGGATAAGGTGGCCTGATTTCGTTTAAGGCCTGCTTCACAAGATGGAACTCATGCTTTATACTGTTAGCTGGACTAAAAACCTACTGACTAGGTCACAGGCCTTAGCGGAGAACCAAATTCTGCTAAACAGACATAGTATTAAACTGCCCCTTAAATTCTTACCTTTATTTCCATGGATTACTGCATCTTCTGTCACGAGAGAAACTATTTTTGCAGTAGACGTGGATTAAGGCAGAGACTGACAGCTTGTTACCGTGCAGAGTAAGAGACTGGAGTCCTGAGCTCTAACCGGGACGATCTACCGTATACTCTCCCCCGAGGCTCAGGAAGCATCGCAAAACGGGAGACAGGGAGTAGCTGCCTGCAGTGATAGATTCTTTGCCAGACATGGTCAGGCTGCTATACTCATGAGCTCCGGGCTGGGACCTCAACCTGCTCTTCTGGAAGAGCATCGCGTGCTCCCAGCTGCTGAGCCATCTCTCCAGTCCTGGCTTCTTCTGGATGCAGTGCTGGTAACTCACCTCCAAGCTCTGTAATTCTCACTGTATCCCGAGGGCTTTTCCATTTTTATTTTTTTAAAGTTGTAGTTTCATGTAATTTAAAGTACTTTTACATTTCTCTTGAAATTTCTTCCTTGACTCAAATATCTACTTGTATATTGCTTGAGCCCCAAGTATATTGGAATTTTCCAGCTACCTTTCTGTTTCTGAGACACGTCCATGTGATTTGAGAGCACACATGTCACGGTCCTGTCCTTTCACATTCTCTTAGTGTGTTTTGTGGCCTGTCATGTGGTTGCCGTGGCAATGAACTATCCATGAGGGTAGATCTTGTACTCCTTTGTTAGAAGTTCTACCTTGCAGAATTCAACGATCCCTCTGCTCTTCCACCCCACCAATGAGTCTACGCCACTCGCTCTCTTCCCTTCAGCCGTCTTTGGTTTTGGCCGTTCCAAGAGCACTGCTGACGTTACCGGCTGTACTCATCCTCCTCTGCTTCTGCCAGTTTTGGACTGTGTTATTAGCAGTACAGAGGATCCAGGTGTGTGTAATCCTTACCTGGATTGTGGATCAGTAAGCCTTTGTATCATAATTGACCCCTGTATCATATCATGAAGCCATTCTTCAGCCCTGGGAACTTCTCTCACTCTGAAGTCCGATGTTCTGAAATTCACACAGATTCTCTCACTCCACCCTCCTTCACGTGCATGTGTGTGATGTGCATGCGCATATATGCATGCATGTTTACATGCCTGTGAGGATGTGCTTATGTGTGTGTGTGTGTGTGTGTGTGTGTGTGCTTGGAGGCCTGAGGTTGATGCCAGGAATCATCTTTAATCACTCTTATACCTTGAGGTGGAGTCTCAGTCAGACCCAGAGATCACGGATATGGCTAGTCTTACTAGCCAGCTTGCTCTTGGGATCCCCAGTCTTTGCTTACTAAAGCTGGCATTACAGACAGGCCGCCATGAATACCCTGTATTTACCTGGGCTGTGGGGAACTGGTTTGACCTGAACTGCTTGTGTCAAGAACTTTAACCACCGAGGCATCATCTCCCAGCCCACTTTCTATTGGTTAGGGTTAACTTGTTACCTCTTACTCCCTTTCTGGCATTTTATCTGTAAGATGTCGCTGGATTTAAAGTGGGTTTCTTAGTTACAGCAAATATTTGGGTCTTATTTTATACAATCTTGGCCTTTTAGTTGGTTTGTTTATTTATCTTTGAAGTAGGGTCTTACAGTGTAATCCAGCCTGGCCTCAAACTTGCAATCCTCCTGCCTCAGCTTCCCAACTGCTGGGATTGCAGACAAGAGTCACCCTGCCAGCTAGTTAATGTGTTTAGACCATTGACACCTGGGTTACTATTTTTTAAGTTTTGTGGTTTGATAATCCCAGCTTTCTGCTCTCTGACACTGGTTCATGCTTAATAGTCTTCAAAATGTTGCTTGCCTTTTAGTGTGCCTTGTAAGCTTTGGTTAAAAGGTGGCATATGATGTCTTGGGTGGAAGAGCTATGTAAACAAGTCTTTTGTAATGAGGTGGCAGTGTGTGTCTGTGGGCAGTCTGTAGCTCTGTGATCAGCCTGTGCTCTGGACTCTGAATTTTATCAGTATGTCTCAGGCTTCCTCTTTTGGGTGGAGCAGGCTGCTAGAAAGGGCTTCAGGTGGGTGCTTCCATCACCTGTGCAGAACAGTAGGGAAATGGAGCGGGCAGCTCCTCTATGTAAAGTAGGCTATGCTCAGCAGTGTTTCACTGGCGTGTTTCACAGTGGTTCCTGTCCCTGCCCGACCCCGCCCTGCAGATGCATGAGGGGACTTTTCCCTCACTGCAAGGAAGGGTGGAACTCTTGGAAGTAATACCCAGTAAAGCTTACCTGCCCTTGTGACTGGGTCTCCTGGAGCTTGACTCTCAGGTTGCCTGCCAGCTGTAGGGCTTTTGTGCCCGCACTGGGCCCTTCAGAGGTCTCTGCTCTGGTGAATTCACCCTCTCTTACTTCTCCAGCTTTGAGGGCAGGCATAGGTAGTAGGGGTTCACTTCTCTTCTGGATGTAAGAGCTTTGAGTTTTGTTCAGTTTGGGTTTGTTCAGCTTACTTCTTGTTGAGGCAGTGCGACGACTTCTAAGCTCCTTACTTACTGGGTTAGAAACTCGAGATCCTCCTCATGGTGTCTCATGCATCTCCATTGTCAGTTGAATCTGCCTTTCTTCTGTGTTGGCAGTTCTGGTCCAAGGATTAAAGTCTTTGCTGTGGTATGGCAGTGGCTGGAGGGGCTGGGTAGAGAGAGAGTGAGGATGGTCTTTGCGTCTATTCATGCAGTCTCTCCATTGACTGTAACTACTTAAGAGGCAAGCAGGCTTATAAATATGCTTGCAAACTATTTTTAACATCACAAAATTTTATATCATTTGCTTCTGTAAATCAAGACCATTTTCAATAGTGATCACCTGCTTGAAATACTTGTGTAGCCTCCCAGAATTCAACAAGACAGAACTCATTTGGTAATATATACAGAGCTCATTTGGTAGCATAGAGAAAACTCATTTGGTAGTATAGACAGAACTCATTTGGTAGTATAAATGCCGATTTGTTTTCTGAAGTCAGTCCGATAGCTTTCTTGTTGTGTTAAAACCCTCTTTGAATCTTAAGAATCTGTTAGTTATCCCCATGGAACACGCTCATACTCAAAATAACAATCCTGTCCCGTTGAATGGACCATACCGATCGGATAGTTGGAAGTTTTAACTTTGTGTGTAGGGACTGGAGCTATGCTCTGAAGACTCCAGGTCCTTCGAAGCAGTTCAGGAGTTCCAGAGGTTTCAGCTGCAGCCAGTGGCCCACTGCTCTGAGGGACAGCCTCGGAAACAGTGGGTGGAGAATACATGTCCTGGCCTTTCCAAGATACCACCTGAGTCCTTGAAAGAGAGTGGTAAGTACCAAGGATATGGGGACATAAGAGAATGAGGCCTTGCCTCCCAAGGATGGGCTTAGGAGGTGGGGAGAAAGGACATGCAGAATTGAAGGTACACGATGGGATGGATGTCTGATGGATGTTGTTACTGAGCACAAGGTTAAGAAGCTTTGTGAAACGGGATGCTTGTAGCACGCCCCACTCGCTGGAGTTTCACAGAAGGTGCTGGCGTTGCAGTGGGGTGGGTGCTGCTCACAGGATGGGGTCTGGTACCTCACACATGGCACATCACTGAAAACAGCTTAGGAGTCCCATCCTCTATAGGAAGTGAAATGGCAAGTGTGTGCCGGGCGTGGGGCACCCTTGGTGTGATCCCACCGTGACCTTTGGGAAGCTGTGTCTCAGAAGGAAGTGGTTTTAGAGAACTGAAGCTTTTATCTCACGAGACTGTTCTCTTCTTCAGCTGTCTTTACTCCCCAAGCCCTAGCTGTTCCAAGGACAGCGAGCATTGGCGATTGGGAGGTGGCAACCAAGTCTCAGGTAAACTACTGTTTTCTTTTCATGTCATCCTCTTGGATGTGCCCCACCCCCAACTCAGGCCTCCCCAGCAGAGGGGTATAGAGCATAGAGTGTTAGCCCTTGCCCCACTGGCCTGCTGCTAATCCATTGACTGTGATGCTGGCCCCGCACATGGCTGTAGTGATCTCTCTTTGGCCTGGTCAGGTTCCCAGGCTGTTTTTAAAGTGTCATTGATATTTAAGGTCCTCTGTGTATGTGTCACAGGAAACCCTGAGCCCCAGTAGACAAGCCAAGGAGGAGCCCTGCCTGGACCCTGCAGGAGGTGATTGTGGGAACGGTATGTGTCTGGGTAAGGAAAGCGTGCTCTGCTCCAGGGCCCAGCTGGCCTATTTCTCGTACACTCTGTTCCAAGAGAGGGGTTGCCATTTCCTTAGAACCAGAGCTCAGCCCTCTGGACTTTGAGGGGAGGAAGAAGACTGGCTCCTTGTAGCCATCCATGTAGAGTCTGCAGGTTGGGATGGGGCTGTATGCGGTTTCCTAGAGCTGGCCCTGCTGGGGCTCATCACCTGGGTATAGTCACCTTGGTCCAGAACTGGAAGAGGCTCTCTGTCTCAAAAGTTCAGCACCCACTGAGAACTCCTCTTGGGGTCAGACTACTGCAAAATGGTCATGAGAAAAGCGAGTAGCAAGGGCTTCCAAATACTCAAAGCTCATGTGGCTGGCACACCTTTCTCTGAAGGCCACCCATGCTAATGGGCCCTTCCCCGGAGGGAGGGAGGGAGGGAGGGAGGGAGGGAGGGTGACACGCAAATGGGATGAAATAGGAAAGGTTGTGACAAGATTAACTCGGGATAGGCTTAGACTAGACATCTGAGGGCTGCTTACTGGACAGTGGCACCCCAATAGTGCTTGTTTAAATGAACCGATCAAGAAATGCTGAATTAGGGTACCCTGAAAAGGCTTAACATCCAAATTCTTTATCTAGATCGCCTCAAACATTTCCTGTAACGAAAGGCTTTCTGCATTGTTAGGACCAGGTGCTGTCGGGAAGGTCTTCCTGTAAATCAGCTACATTGTTAGGAGCCCAAAGGAGGAGGTGTTCCAGGCATGCTACCTGTTAGCTCGGCAATGCTCTAGGGCTCTACGTTCGATTCATTCTCTCTCTCCCTCTCTTGACCTTTCTCTCTCCTTCCGTCCACCAGTGAGTTGTGTCTGATGGGGTTGTTTGAGGCCCTGTGTTTGTCACCTGTGACTCCATGCTAGCCCCCCTGTTCTGTGATGTACTTCATAACAGCATGGCAGCTAGCCGGTCCCTTTCATTTTCACTGCGGCTCCTGTGTCTCTTCTAAGCACCTCTCTCTAGGGAGATCATCATGGGAGTTTCTCATCTGTCTCGTGGAGGAGAAGGGTGCGAGTTTCAGGATAGAAAGGAGAAATCCGTCTTGTGGAGGAGAAATACAGTCCAACAGGGTCATTTCTGCTCAGTCATTTCTGTCCTTTCTTTTGTGTAGGAGTTCCAGCTTCAAAGCCAAGTGTCACCTCCCAGCATGAGCAAGGACCAGAGATTTTGGGTCTGAGCCTTATAAATTCTGGGAATGGGAGCACTGCAGAGGATAGCCTGGACAGTGAGCAAGACAAGCCAGCCCAGGCAGCAGTCTGGGCAGACTCAAGGGCCTGGGAAGAGCCATGCCAATGGGGTGCGGAGGACATGAAGGTGTCAGGTGTTCACTGGGGCTATGAGGAAACCAAGACTTTCCTGGCAATCTTAAGTGAGTCTCCTTTCTCCGAAAAGCTCCGGACTTGTCACCAGAACCGGCAGGTATACCGGGCTATCGCAGAGCAGCTGAGAGCACGGGGCTTCTTGCGGACTCTGGAGCAGTGTCGCTACAGGGTCAAAAACCTTCTACGGAATTACCGGAAAGCCAAGAACAGTCATCCACCAGGGACCTGCCCCTTCTATGAGGAGCTGGAAGCCCTGGTGAGGGCTCGGACAGCCATCCAAAGAACCACAAGTGGGCCAGGAGAGGTGGTGGCACTTCCCAGGCTGGGTGACAGCGACACTGAGATAGATGACCAAGACGAAGGGAACTGGGAGCCAGAGGAGGCCACGGAAGACGGCAGTGGTTCTGGCCTGGCTGCCGAGGAGTCTGTTCAGGGCCCCAGGATTGCAGGGGGCCCAGCTCTGCTCCAGAGCCGTGTTGGTAAGAACATGGCCTTTAACTGGGTCAATATCATCGAGGCTGCCCAAGGTTAGAGCTCAGTCTGTGAGTCGGATCGCTGACCCTAGAGTAAGGTGCTGAGTACCTGGGCCCTCCTCAGGCTCACTCTTCTCTGTACCACGTCTCTTAGTTGTAGCAGCAAATAACTCTGAAGACTTACTAGGCCTGGAGAGATTCCAGTTGCTTCTAAACGGTGTCACTGAGGACGCTCCCAGGTGGCACCTGAGCAATTGGATCGTGTCATTTCCATAGGTGTGTTTCTCTTAATGCCTGTGAGAACGGCCCTTTAATTCACAGATAGCATGTCTGTGGTAAGAAAGTGAGTGAAATACTGGAGTGTAGAGAAGAAACCAATAGTGTAGCCTTGAGAGTCACTGTTTGGCAAACACCTAATCTTGCAAAGGGAGAGTCACTGACAGCCATAGGCACATAGGCAGGATCAGAGCCTGGGCTTCTTCCTGCCTTGTGTTCATACAGCCCCTCCCCCATGCAGCCTCCTCGGGTTACATCACTTACCCGAATGGAGACTATACTGCATACCTTTCCTTCTTTGACCATCGAGGAAGGCGTGTCCTCAGCTATAGCCTGCCACCTGGTTAGTCAAGGTCCATTTGTGTCTCTGATCCTTGGGGAGTCTCAGATTCCATATATTGTTGAAAGGAGGACCCACAAAGGAGCCAGGGCATGCATTCTGAGTGAATTCAGGGAGAATGTCATGGATGAAAGTCACTTGTCAGCTGAAGCCAAGGGAGTGGGTCGCTTGATGCAGTGGCTAAAGCATGGCCACTATGGCTCCCTGTCAGCAAGACTGTCTCTTGAAATGGTGAGAGAGGATGCTTTGGCTGACTTCCCTAGTGTGTCTCTGAGAAGCAAGTTTGTGTTCCCAGGTCCTTCGACAGTTTCTGAGATCTGTCTTCTAGATAGAGAGGTGCAGGGGACCCCAGTCCTGATGACCTAGGTAAAGCTCCCAAGTCTCACACGTCTGACCTCTTCACTTCTGACAGCAGGCGTGCACTGGGGCTTCGAGGAGACCAAGGTCTTTCTGGCAATCCTCAGTGAGTCCCCCTTCGCTGAGAAGCTTCGCACCTGTCACCAAAACAGCCAGGTATACCGGGCCATTGCGGAGCGGCTGCGTGCGCTGGGTTTCCTGCGGACGCTGGAGCAGTGCCGATACCGATTCAAAAACCTTCTTCGAAGCTACAGGAAAGCCAAGAGCAGCCGTCCACCAGGAACCTGCCCATTCTATGAGGAGATGGACTCACTGATGAGGGCTCGAACTGTGATCAGAGCCATGGAGACGGTAGAAGACCCAGGTCTTCCTGGATCTGGGCAGAGTGGTACTGAGGCAGATGACCAAGAGGCCTGGGGGGAGATGGAAGATGAGGATGCCATTAGGCTTCTGACTCCAGATCCCCAGACTCCAGATGCAGGTGAGCCTGGAGGCACTGGATGTTGGCAGAATCTGCAGCCCTGTACAAAGATGGGTGTGGAAAGCACAGGGCACACCAAGACCAGCTTTGCAGCACGAAGGAGATTTATTTGCCCCAGAGGGACAAAGGGCAGGGAGTAAGAAACAAAGAGAGAAGATAGAGGATGAACAAGAGGATAAAGAAATAAGGCGGGGTGGCATGGCGGGGAGTGGTATTTTCCCAGCAGGAACAAAGGTCTGCCTTTGGATAGAGAGGAGACAGATATGTCCCATAGGCAAATGGTTTATAAAGGTACAAGGGGAAACCCTGTGTTAGGATGAGGCATTTAATCGGGCATGTTAATTAGATGAGCCAAAGGTAGCTTTTGATTGCTGGACTTCAGTACTTTGAACCTTTGAACCAATACAGGACCTTAGTGGTCAGCCTCAGGAGGAGGAAGTGGCCAAATTACGGGGACTAGACCTTGGAGGCTAGCTTTAGGAATGTAATCTAACAGTTCACCAAAGCAGAGAGAAGGGCAAGGCCTCCAAGCCATGTTTGCCATGCTCGGTCTACTAGAGCCCCTCAGGAACCAGGTAGATCATCTTTGTTTCTGAGCCAAAAGAATGAATGAGAGCAAACAGGAAAAGCCTGTGCTCTGCATAGATGCTATCATATGCCGTCATGTTTAGTACCAGCCTGCACTCTGGGTGGCCAATCTAGCTTTTACTGGGACATACCCGGGTAACTATGGGACTGATTGATGACACGGGGTCTGTTTAATGTGCTGGGGGACGAGAAGAGGTGTTTAGTATTGAATACAACTTCAGAGAAATGGCTGGGGAAGAGCCAGGCTGCATGGTCACTAGGGTGGGGTTACTGTATTCTAGACTGATGGGTAGCGGGGAGAGCCAGGCTTCATGGTGGCTGAGCTGCAGGGTAGGGGGTGGGAGGTTGGGGTGTTACATTTATAAGACGTGGGCTATAATATACAAATCAGTGTTAGCCAAATCGACAAACTTATGTGATATAGGTACAGTAATGCTAACCAGTGAATGAACAGATACCTTCCATTCCTGTCTGTTCTTTCAGGTTTTGAATTGAAGCATGAAGATGAAGACCAGATTTCAGAGCAAGATGTTTTGGAGGATTTGCCTGGGGCCTTATCAAGATATACCACTAAAGCTGTTTGCCAGCCTCATGACTGGGGAGAGGATCATGAGAACGGAAATGAAGGGGAGTGGAGGAGCACTCTCCCATGGGATGAGTGCTCCTCTGAGGAGGACTTAGAAAAACTCATTGACCACCAAGGCCTGTACCTCACAGAGAAACCCTACAGACGTGACACACGTGTGAAAAGCTTCAGTCAGGAAGTGCATTGCTTGGCCCCTCACCAGAGCCATGCAGGTGAGAATCCCTACAAGTGTCTTGCCTCTGGGAAGAGTTTTAGTGACTGTGCCAACCTCAATATCCACCAGCGACTCCATACTGGAGAGAAGCCATACAGATGCCTGGAGTGTGGGAATGGCTTCAGTGAACCTTCTCACCTCCTCACCCACCAGATAGCCCACAGAGGGGAAAAGCCCTATAAATGTGGGATGTGTTGGAAAAGCTTCACCCAGAGCTCAAACCTCCTGAGACATCAGCAGATCCACTCGGGAGGACCTCCTGACCATCAAGAGGAGCCTGGGGAGCATCTTGGCCAAAGTCCATCATTTAATGCTTACTGGAGACATTCTGCATGGGAGAGACCCAAACAACCTGAGGATCTCAGCACGGGTGCAGACTCTCCGGGAGCCTATCACCCAAACTCAGGGGAGAGGCTGTACCCGTGCCCCGAATGTGGAAGGTGCTTCTCTAAGAGCTCCGCCCTCATTAGTCACCAAAGAATCCACACAGGCGAGAAGCCATTCGAGTGTGGCACGTGTGGGAAAAGTTTCAGTAAGAGCTCCAGCCTGGCTAACCACCAACGAACTCACACCGGCGAGAAGCCACACAAGTGCTCCGACTGCGGGAAGTGCTTCAGCGAGCGCTCTAAGCTCATCACCCACCAGAGGGTCCACACGGGAGAGAAGCCCTACAAATGCCCCGAGTGTGGCAAGTTCTTCCGAGACCGGTCCAACCTCATCACCCACCAGAGAATTCACACGGGAGAGAAGCCGTATAAGTGCAGAGAGTGCGGGAAGTGCTTCAACCAGAGTTCCAGCCTCATCATTCACCAGAGGATCCACACCGGGGAGAAACCCTACAAGTGCACAGAATGCGGCAAAGACTTCAACAACAGCTCCCATTTCAGTGCCCACCGCAGGACCCACTCGGGAGGAAAAGCGTTGTAGGCCACACCTCCTCCTGACAGAAGAGCAATAATGTGTATCTATACCTCCCACATTACTAAAACACGCTAGAAAGAAACCCTCCGATGTTTAAGCGTGGCGTATGCTTAAGGACACCATCTTGGTAAAATTCGGGTAATTCAGAGGTTAATTTACAGCTACTAAGGATGGCAGTCCGAAGGTACTTCTCAAGTGTAATTTGGTTTGCACACTCCCAGCACACACACACAATCCTTAGGCTGTCCTTACATCTGCTGTCACTTGAGAGCTTAGTCAGTGAGACAGATGGGCAATGTGTGCTTAGAGTTGAGTCCGTGGCCCAACGTACTGGTTCCAGTTTCTTCCTGTGCCTTCACTACCCTTCCCCATGGAAAACAGTTCTTGTTCTTGGTAGTTTGCAGTTGGGGCAAATCCCCATAGGGAAACCTTGAAACCTCACAGTGAGAGGAGGTATAAGCCGAGAACCAGTGCCTGGGGTACCCCACCTCGAGGTCAGCAGCAAATGAGGCCACAGCGAGATCATCACAGAATCTTTAGTAATAGCAGAAATAGCTGTTCATTGAGCATTTGCTCCTTGGCAGCCCATGTGCCAAGCGCTTTATGTATCATCTCATTTAATCCTTAGAGTAGTCCCAGAGTAGAAAACGGAGGACTGGGCAAGTCAGGTGACCCACATTAATCACACATCTGAAAATGGGGGAGGCAGAATTCATCAAGACTCATGTGTCCCCAGAGCCCAAGGGGCTGTGTGCTCTCCCAAGCCCTCTTACATGAGGGCAGGTAGCTAGCATTAGGATCTCAAAGTATGATCATTAATGAACTCTGCCTTTCACACATACAGAAGTTGAGAGTTCCTGCAGATGAGAGGATTTGGGATGTTCAGAATTGGTGAGACACTCTTCCTGAGGCTGAGTTGTTACCAGAGCGATGGGTGAGAGTCACCATCTTTAGAGTAATATGGGTGAGAGGTAGGTAGACAGAGTCGGGAGCGTCTTGCAGTGAGATAGTGCTTTGGCTAAGAAGTGAGTTGACAAGTCCTTCCTCAGATCAGGTCTGCTTGTTGGTCACATGGCTGAGCACAGGTGACCAAGTCTTACCAAACAGGCCTTCCCTGTGCCCAGTCCCACCTGCCTTTTGATCTCTCTGGCTCATTTTCTTCATTTTCAGTCCGGATGCCTGAGGTGGAAGGAGTTGACACATTGTCCTCTACTGAGAGGGCTTAGAAAGGGTTCCATATTCTAGGTTCATGGCACCATTTTGGCTTGAGCCCTCTTGTCCCAAGATGCCCAGTGTGTCTCTCAGACCAGCCACTCACACGACAGACCATGACAGGTAGGTCCACACAGGCCGTGACAGGTAGATCCACACAGGCCACAACAGGTAGGTCCACACAGGCCACAGCAGGGAGGCCCATACACAGTGCTTTTCTTGCTTGTAGCACTTTGACCTCCATAGTTTTCCCTTAGGGTTTAAAAATGTTGACTAAGGACTCTGGCTTTCATAGACTTTTTTAAAGGAAGGTGACTTTCTTAACATCTACGTGTGACCTTAGAATGCCACTCGTATCCCAGTTACTTCAGGGCTGTGGGAAGTATTGATCGGATGGATAATAGCTGTGAAGAACTCGAAGACTGGAACGTTCTATTTGCATGTGAGAAAGTAGGTGGAAAGTCTTGCCATCCCTCCTAAAGGAGGTTGCTCCCCGGCCTTCTTCTTGTACCAGAACCTTTCCCAGGAACCAGTCCACTGGAGGCTACTTTCTGTCAACTCTCCTCAGCTTACCTTTCCTGGCTTATCTTATCTCAGGATCAGGGGTCATGGGGTATGCCCTGGCTAGAGATCAGCAAATGTCAGTTACTGCAATAAGAAGATGCGTAGAATACGCTGGGTCTGAAAGGAAGGTTCCTGAAAGAGAGAAGAACATTCTAGAGAAAGTTACTGAGGTATAAAAGACCTGGGTTCCAGGTGGAGGTAGAGGCCCAGGTTGTAGCCTAGGGTAAGGGACCGGGATGGTGGGACGGTGGCATCAGGGATTGCACAGATGCTGGGACAAGGTCATTCCCGGTGCAGCAATGCCTTAGGCTCTTTCCTTTCACAAGTTGGAAGTTTAGCTGGGTAGGCCCTTACTGGTGCTAATCTTTGTCAGTTCCAGCCTCTTTCAGCATATGCCTTAGCTCTAATTAAACTGCCTAGTGCTTTTTTTCTCTCCAAACCGTACATTTTGTATTTTTTTCTGTCTCATTTGTTTTTCATTAGAGTTATTGGTACTAACTATGCCACAGGCACAATGTTACAGTATTTTGAAATACTCCTTAAAAAAAAAAAAAAAA